CAACAACAACAGCAGCAGCAGCAGCAGCAACAACAACACCAGCAACAGCAGCAGCAGCAGCAGCAGCAACAACACCAACAACAACAACAACTTAAACAACACCAACAACAACAGCAGCAGCAACAACAACAACAACAACAACAACTTAAACAACGACACCACCACCACCACCAACAACAACAACAACTTAAACCACCACCACCACCAACAACAACAACAACTTAAACAACAACAACAACTTAAACAACAACAACAACTTAAACAACACCACCACACACACACACATACACACACATCGTGCGCACCTCCAGCTCCTCCCGCAACTCGGCGACTTCGCTCTCGAGCTCCATGATAATCTGCTGCTGCAGTGTCTCGTCTGTTTGCTCGTCGCTGCGCCCAAAGTACTGCGTTTCGCCCCGCAACTCCGTCGTCAGCGCCGCAGAGACGGGCAGCACAATGCGTCGGCCACCGCCCCCATCACCATCGCCACCATCGCCAGCGCACGTGGTGGTGCTGTTGCTACTGCCGCTGCTCGCTCCATCAGTCTTGTCACCACTGCTGGCACGGGCGTCCCCGCTGTTCGTGCCCGCGTTCTTCGCATCGGCACCACTTGTGCTGTCATCTTCGCTCGCCGTTGCCGCTTCTGATGTTGATGCTGCTCGCGGTGTTGTTGCATCAGTGTGACTGGATGCTTGCGTTGCTTGCGTCAGGTCGGCCCCAACGGGCAACGGCACGTCGCTCGATGCAACGCGGCTCAGCTCCTCGGCGAGATTCAGCCCGCTGCCTGCTCGAGGGATTGGTGGTGGTGGTGGTGAATGGAGGTTGTGTTGATGTATTCATGCGTGTGTATGTGTGAGCACGTGTGAGTCATGTAGCTGCGATGTTGTGAACAACGCCACACCCGACACTGGTGGTCATCTTTCAAGGGACAAGTCAGGATGCACAAGCAGACAAACAGACAGACACAGAGGGAGAGGGAGAGGGAGAGAGAAAAACAAAAACACACAGGCAAACACACACATATAGACACACACGCAGACACACATACGCGTGCACACACACACACACACACACACACACACACACACACACACACACACACACACACACACACACACACACACCGGATGTGTCTGCGTCACCACCACCATGAGTCGCGTCCCCAGCGTGATCGCCAGCAGTGCCGGCGTCGGCCGTGATGGCGTGGTCGTGGGCCAGCTGCAGGTCCTTTCGCCGCTGCATCTCCTCATCCAGCGCGTCCTGCAGCGATGCAATGCGCTTCTCATATGCGCAGGCAACAGCAGCAACGGCAGCGTCTATCCGCTCCTGCACATCTCCCGCCGCCACTGCTGTTGCTGCTGCCGCTGTTGTTGCCGGCCCGGCCTGTATTGGGCCTGCCTGTGGTGGTGGCGATGGCGGTGGTATGTCGGTGTCATCAGCACTCTTCAGCTTCTGCAGCAGCTTCCGCCGCGCCTTCAGCACATCGCGCGCGCTGGCCCGAGGTGGTTGGGAAAGTGTTGGGGGGGGGGAGGAGGAGACGAGTGGGAGAGCAAGAAGAAAAGTGTTTCGATGTCACGTGCGATGGAGGCGAGCAGGAAGAAGAGAGCTTCGCGAACAACGCAAGGCACGCACAAGACACACCGATGCGTGCGCACACACAGGTACATACCACACACCGACACATACACACACACGTACACACGTACACACACACGTACACACGTACACACACACACGTACACACATACACACGTACACACACACACACACACACACACGAACACACACACACATACACACACAAACATTCACTGCTGGTCGTACGTGTTGAATGTGCGGGAACGAGACTGTGACATGGAGGATATCGACGACGATGTGCCCTCGGTTGTTGATGTGCGGCTCGATACGGACGCGTTACGCGCATTGCGCAGCTGCAGCTGGAACGACGCCTTCCGCAGCTCGGATCGTGCCCCTTGCAGCGCACTCTGGGTTGCAGACAAGCCAAAATCCAGCACATGCACATACAATAGCAGCAGCAGGGTGTGTTCAATGTCAGCTGTTCCATGAGGATACACACAAAGACACACAGGGACACACAGACAACACAGACAGATACACATGCACAGACACTCGCACACACGCACGGCAAACCATAGCAGGTCGTTGCAGGATGATTGAAACGCGCGTTCGCTTGTTTGCTTGCCTTGGTTTCGCGTAATTGGCGCTCAAGGCTTGAGCAGTGCTCTTGCAATGCCTTGACAACATCAGCAAACGAACACACGAGGGCATAATCACCAGTCAGCAAGTTGAACTTCACACAGTGACACACACACACACTCGAACACAGAAGCACACACACACACACAGACACGCAGACGCACACAGACACACACACACACACAGACGCACTCGAACACGCACACGCACACACACACACACACACACACACACACACACACACACACAAACGCGTGCACGTACCACCATGTCCTCCATGTCGGCTTTGCGGCGTTGACACAGGGCCTCCAAGTCACGCTTCTCCTTCTTGAGGGCGTCAATGTGCTTGAATTGCTGCTCGTTGGCTTCTTCCAGCTCGTCATAGGCTTGCTCGAGAGCCTCCTGAAGGCATGAAGCATGTGGATGTAGCAGCGGTACTGTGCGATGAGAGCAGAGCAACGACGTTCGCCCAGCCCCCACTGCAACCAATTCGCGCCTCATCCCGCACCCACACAGACACACACACACACACAGATACACACACACACACAGATACACACACACACACGTGCACACACACACGCACACACACGTGCACACACACACGCACACACAGTCACACACGCAATCACGGCAGTCATTCACGTCATTTTGTCTCAGTGCCTCGTTGACCCACCAAGCGAGATCGAAGCTGAGCATTGTCGTGGGCAAGCTGCTCCACACTCTCTGCCTCATCCTGCATTGTCCTTGGTCCCCCTTGTCGTCTGTGTTTTCCGTAGCGGTGCGAGCTTGCTTGCTCGCTCAAGCCCTGCTTGCCTTCTTGTTTGGGTTGTTGTTGTTGGCGTTTGTTTGCGTTGAGCGATTTTGGACAATTTGCGCTATTTTCAACAATTTTCCGGATTGTAACGACGACGATGGCGAGCAGGCGCAGCAGTGGTGGACGAGGTGGTGGTGAAGAGCCGCACGAAGGGCAACAACAGCAACGACAACAGCAACAGCAGCAACAGCAAGAGAGGCACACAAGACGAGAAGCAGGAAGGCAACACCACGCTCACAGAGTCATGCACCAACAGGCCGAGGGGGCCGAGGAGACACCCCCGCCAAGGATTGTGACACGCTCACGAGCAGCAGGCCGGTCGTCTTCAACGGCAACAACGGCAACAACAGCAACAACGGCAACAGCGGCAAGAACAACCAGGTCGAGGGGTGCAACAACGGCGCCAACAACAACAACGACAACGACAACAGGGTCGTCTCCGCGAAAGAAGAGTGGAACCAGCGGCACAACACGGCGCTCAAGCGCCTCCGGTGCTGCCACTCGCCGCAAGACGCGCTCGTCAGCCTCCGCTGCAACCACGCCAGAGGGTTCCTCGTCCCAGTCGGCTAGCTCAGGCGCCGCAGGCACGCAGCGCAAGCGCTCATCCACGAAAACAAGAACGGCATCAAAACCATCGGCAGTAGCTTCGCCGTCGTCGGCCTCATCGTCACCCGCCACCCGGAAAGAGGTTGGGGTTGGTGCCAAGAAGAGGACTGCCTCTGCACGCAGCAAGGCGCCCGAACCAACCGCTTCAACACCATCACCGCGAACGAGACTCCCGCGCCGCGCGCGTGCTCGTGAGCGATTCGGCGATGAGAGCATGCACGATGACGATGACGGTGATGATGGTGATGATGAGGATGAGGCTCAGGATGACGAGCGTGGTGATGGCGGCAACCATTCCGACGAGGACATGGACCTGGATGACAGCGACATTGATAATGGCGCCGAAGCAGCCCACGTCTCACGTGCACAGCGGTTGCCTTCCCCTCCAGCACCGGCTGCATCAGCTGTGACAGCACCAACAGCAACAACAAGAACAGCACCTAGGGCGACAGCGACAGCGCAAGCGCCCACGGCGCGTGATCCAGCCAACACGTCCGTGAGGACAAGTGCAGCGTCAGGCACTGCGAGCATGCATGCGCCACCGCCTGAGGAGCAGCATGCGTTGCTGTTGGACGTCGCATTCCAGTGCAGTCAGCGTGGTCTTGTCCTCGGCAGCCAATGGTGCGCACGTGCTAGTTTGGTTGTGTTGTCTTGCCGTGGGATGGGCTGGTTGGCGGTGGCGTGTTTTGTGTATGCGTGTGTGTATGTGTGAATATGACCGGATGAAGGATCTTGTGCACGCATGTATGCTGGAGTGTGTGTCTGCTTGCATGTACACATGTGGTGACAACACTGCAACAGTTGTTCGCTGCTTGTCCAATGTTCAAGCACTGTGGCTGGCGTTCACGTGTGGTACTATGTGCCCCGTCACTTGTCAACGTGAATTGACAGGCTGTTGGAGCTGGCGGCGTCGCTGCCGTGCGAAGAGGCAAGCTACTTGCCCACCATCACCATCAAGGATCTCGATCCCAAAGAAACCGGCACCTACTTCCTGGCCAAGTCCTTCTTTGACACGAGCGAGTTCAAGCGCTGCGCGCATGCGCTTTCCAACTGCACCTCGCTTTCCGCCGTCTTCCTCCGCCTCTACGCCATCTACCTCGTGCGTGTGTGCGTGTGTGTATGTGTGTATGTGTGTTGTGTATGTGTGCGTGTGTGTGCGTGTGTGTGTGTGTGTGTGTGTGTGTGTGTGTGTGTGTGTGTGTGTGTGTGTGTGTGTGTGTGTGTGTGTGGCGTGTTTTTGTGAATGTGTGTCTGCCCATTCTACTTGCGTCCAGTTCGCTCACTTGCGTGCTATGTGTGGGTGTTGACAGGCTGGCGAGCAACAGAAGGAGGAAGAACAGCCAAACGTGCTTGGTACGACTTGCCACCACATCCGTGTACATGCGCCAGCGTTTGCACAGCAGTCAACATAACCATACCAGCGCCATAGCACTACATACATTGCTTCACTCACTCATCAGTATCCTCTCGTACATGCTTTGCTTGGCTCCTCTGTGTTCTGGGGTGTGCGCATGTGCAGAATATGCCGCATCACACGCCGCAAACAAGAACTTGCAGTCCATTCGAACGCAGATTGAGCAACGGTTAGGCACACCCGTCACCCTCACAACCCTTTTGCACACACACACACACACACACACACACACATACCACGAAGAGCATACTCACAGCTGTGCCGTGCGCACTGCTCATTGTCAGGCTGGCGCGGCGGCGGCCGTGTGGACCGTTCCTCCACTACCTCATGGGCATTGTCCTGCGCGATATGGTGAGACGCACGCCAGTGGTGGAATGCCGGCCGTAATATGCCCTGCGTGCAAGATGCAATCAACGATTGCGAGGCGCGTATGCACGATGAGACGTGAGACACACACACACACACACACATAACGACAACAACTGAAACAACAACAACAACAACAACAACACTGCCTTTGCAGGGCCTGGTTGAGAAGGCGTGCTCGCACCTCATCAAGGCTGTGAACGCCCAACCGCTGCTGTGGTCCGCCTGGTTCGCCCTCGCCTCCCTCTGCAAGGACAAGTCGCACGTCAACGCCGTACGTTCACGTGACGCGCAGCGTATTGTCGCGGCTTCATTCGTCTCAAATCAGCCGTGCATTTCGTCTCACACACTCGTCTGTCTCCGTCTTTGCCTCATTCACACCATCTGCATCATCAACATCATCCTTGTGTGTGTGTGTGTGTGCGTGTGTGTGCATGTGTGTGCGTGTGTGTTCGCGCGCTTGTGTTGTTATTCTCAGTTGAATGCCGTTCTTCCGGATCACTGGATCAAACGCCATTTCCACGCGCACGTTGCGCTGGAGCTGCGCCTCGACATGGTGTGTGTGTGTGTGTTTGTGTGGATTTGCGTGTATACATCTCCAAGTGCATGTTTGTGAACCTACTGGTGCTGCGGCTGCGTGCGTGTCGCAACTCTGTTCCCCCAACCCCAACCCCAACCCCGCGCGTGCAACTGTGTTTGCGTGTGTTCAGGAGGCGCTGGAGTTGTACGAATCGCTCGAGCAATCGTATCCCCGCTCGTCAACAATTGCTGCGCAAATCGCCACCGCGTACCACAACCTCAGAGGTGGGCATGTGTGCGGGTGAACATCGATGCTTGCTCGTGAAGCTGTTCGTGTGGTGTGGATGCTTTGTTTGTGAAGCTCACAGGCAGCAACCGTGCTGACACAACGAGCTCGTCCCAAGAAAATTAACTCGTGCATTGGGTGGGTGCTTTTCAGACGTTGACATGGCTGAAGACTACTTTACACGCGTCGAGACACTGGATCCATACCGCCTCGACCACGTCGACACGTATTCAAACGTGCTCTATCTCCAAGTGCGTTTCGATGTTGCGTTCACCCTCACTTAAATGTTGCGTCTGGCCAGATTGAGCTCCGCGTGACGTCATCGGCCTAAATTTACGTCATAGTCATATTGCGCTCATGTCAGCATGTCGTGCTTGTCGGGTGGTTTCGTCAGGAGAACGTTGCAGAGCTGAGTCGGCTGACCCATCATGTTGCTGCCATCGACAAGTACCGGCCAGAAACTTGCTGCGTGATAGGTGAGCCTTTCTTTGTCCTCGCAGACTACATGATCACCTTGCCCTAACAAAGGGCTGTTCAAGAAGGGTGCCGTTGCCTTGTGGGTTCGGTTGTTGTGGTGATGGTGGCTGATGACGGCCACCGCTTTGTTGTCATTGCTGCCTGCTGATCTGTGTGTGTGTGTGTGTGAACTTCTTTACTGTTGACTGTGGTGCACGCTTTGTGTGTCTCGTGTGGTGTGATGTTGTGTGTGTGTGTGTGTGTGTGTGTGCGTGCGTGAAGTTGTTGACTCTTTGTTGGCTGCGCTTTGTTCCCTTGTATAACATGTGCCTTTGCCCTCTTTGCTTTCCTTGCAATCGCTTCTCTCCTTTGTCCGCTGCCCTTTGTCCGCTGCCCTTTGTCCAGTGGCCTTTGTCCAACTCACAACTGGTATTTGTGTCCATGTCAACCTGCGGCTTGATCATGCGTGGGAAGGCAACTACTACAGCCGCCGAGAACACAGCGCCAAGGCCGAAATCTACTTCAGACGCGCCCTCAAACTTGATCGCACGTTCGTCACACGAGCCATGCTTGCCTGCTCGCTTGCCTGTTCATGTGCACGTGTGTGTTTGTGTGTGTGTGTGTGTGGGGGGTGGGGGGGGGGGTGGGTGTGTGTGTGTGTG